TTCAAATACATAGATATGTTAATCATAAGTGTCAAAATAACTCAAAGAAGTATTTTAGATGTCAAAAAAAAAGATTCGCACCAAACGGTTGACCGTTCCGAGTCCCGTAGCTTAATTAAATGATATTTTTATCAGATTTCATCCAAATAAAATAAAGTATATTTATCCAATCATGTTGTTTACAAATTGTTCATATCATGTGATTCATTTCATCATCCATATTGAAACATATCACATCGTGTGCATGTGCAAGAGATCAGGCAGAAGTGCGTCTCTTGTAGTTTTGATTGTGCGGGACTTAGCAGTCCGACATCACGGACCAGGCTTAGTGTACGTACATGGTACTTAGGCTTTCGAGTACCACCCCTATTTCTGCGTGAGTTCGTCGTACAAAATGGGTGAATCTCATAGTTCAAGGCTTGTCCTTGTGACCTAGAATCATACAGCATGAATTCATCATCAAGCAAATGCAATCATTATGACTATGTATGACATTTATTACGTATCACAATCATCATTTGAGCATACATGCTATATTATGTCATATCATGATAATTATATGTCTACTTGCTATTCAACTTGGAATTGTTGTATTAGCGTATTCCTCAGCTGACGCTGAGCGTGTAGTTTGTTTTACTTGCTACACGCAGGTAACAATACTGATCATGGAGCCCATCCCGGAGGTCAATGAGAGTGACGAGATGTACGGGCTGGTGGACCACATTTATGATGTTTTAATTAAATAAATACCTTTTCGGGCGAGAACCCAGAAAAATGTAAAACAATTTGATTATGTGTTATATTTAAGCTTCCGCATTGTTTCAGCAATACTCTGAATTTAATATTTGAAATTATCATTTATATTAAAGTTTAAATTGGTTTTAAATTATTCCTCAAATTAGTATGCGTATTTACCATCATGGTAACTACTTCGGCTCAAATAATTTATGTAATTGGGTTATTCGAGTTGGGGTGTTACAGAATGGACCAGACCAACGAGACCTCAATTTCCCGGGACACAACCTTAACCGGGAGTTGTATAGAAGTACTTGGTCCCCTTCATGGAACTCTTTAGACTGTTTAATGTGCGCGTCGTGGTATTTCTTGACGCGTTCCTTGTAAAGCAGATTATTGTGGAAAGCCAGCGTTCTCCACTCATCTAATTCATCCAGTTGGTAGAATCTCCCTTCCTGCTGCGAATGAATCTAGACACACATTTTTGAGTGCCCAGAGTGCCTTATGTTCAATCTCGACGGGCACATGACATGATTTCCCGTAGATGAGATGAAAGGGAGTAGTTCCGATGGGAGTTTTGTATGCAGTTCGGAAGGCCCATAAGGCATCATCAAGCTTTTCTAAGATCGCCTTCAGATCTCTATTTGTGTTCTCTACTTGACCTTGACTCTGGGGATGGTAAGCAACACCCCCTCTGTGTTGGACTTCGTATCTCTGCAAGGTTTTGACCAAGGGACCATTCCTGAAGTTTGTCCCTCTATCACTTATCAACACTCGAGGTACTCCAAACCTCGCAAACAATTTCTTCAAGAAACGCACCACCTTGCGTGCATCATCTCTTGGACAAGCTTGGGCTTCAGCCCACTTCGAGACGTATTCAACCGCCACCAGTATGTATTTATTTCCGTATGAGCTTGGGAATGGTCCAACAAAGTCAATACCCCAGACATCAAATATATACCTCACAGGGAAGTATATAATGTTGCGGCATTTCATCACGACGGGTGATGTTTCCCATCCTTTGGCATTCCTCACACCTGGTCACAAATGTATGGGCGTCTCAAAATATGGTGGGCCAAAAGAACCCACTGTCCAGCACCTTCCGTGCAGTTCTTCTCCCTGAAAAATGGCCACAAGTTGGCTCAGCATGACAGTGTTTCAGTATTTCTTCTCCTACTTCTTCACTCACGCACCTACGCACCACTTGGTCTGCACAGATCCGGAACAGATCCTGTATCTGTTATTCACATCTCTAAATATGCTTAGCGGCATACCCAACGCATAACTGTACGTCTACCAGTATTTCAGATAGCATTAGTTATGAATCAAAGCATACGGCCCCACATATCAGAGAATGTAATAACTTCAAGTCTGAGGATAGTTATAGCAAGGTCGATTTGAGAATACTGATAAACATATTACTGTAGATCCATGCAGTATTCTCAAGATGGGTCAATCCAGTCACATATTATCAATATAATATGCACTTACGTATAGATTAAGGTATCACAATACCTATAGTCTATGAGACGCAACTATCTCATCTCGTACGTACTAGTCTTGATACGTTATGACGTCCGTATTATCATAAAGTGCGACTAGGGATATTCTAGACACAGCCTTCGTCAAGAAGTAACAGTCTCATAATCAGAACATCGTAGTCCTCATCTATGTTACTGAAGCGCTATCGTCTATGGACTGAAGCTATGTTATGTTACACGAGATATAAAACATACTTCAAGGCCTTTCATTCATGATAAAGTGTACAGTTACATAGGTATTTGATTGCCGCTAGGGCACCTAAATACAACAA